ATACAATTTTATCCATGAAAAAATAAATTTTTATTTCTTACTCTCACATTTACAGATTTAGCCCTTTTTAATAAAAAATTCTACTGTATTTTATTAAATTCTTTATATTATTAATTGTAAAGATATTTGATTAATATTTTTAGTTATTTATATAATTTGATGTTAAATATTTGGATCACGTGAATTTAACCTATTTCTTAAATTTTTAAGCTAATTAAGTTCTTTTTTTCTCCACAAACTTCATTTAGTTAAATAATTAAAATCAAATTTTCTAAATGTATTATCAAATAAAACAAACATCTTCATGATATATTTTTTTAATTATAAATGAGTATCTTTGGTGAATTTTAAAACAACTCGACTCAACAGGAATAGAAGTTAAACGATATTTGAGACAAAAATATAAACTCTTAATTTTCTCCATAAATGATTAGTTTGATTAAAAGTTTAACACATTTGCAGAAAATCTGTAAATATATTTCTGCTGAATTAATTTAGAATACAAAGAGAAAACACTTGATCTGTTGGTTCCCGATAAATCAAAATAAAATGCAGTTAAAAGCATCATGGATGTCTATAAATCCTTATAAAAGGAATTTTAACGTTTAAACATTTTGAAAAATGTCTGCATGTCTCCCCTTTATGTTAAATGTCTGACATCAGCTGATAAGAGTGGAAGTTTTTGTTTCCTGAGCTGAAAGAGGCGTCATCCAGTCAGAGAACAAGCAGCTCTGAACGCATCTCATATACTTCCTGTCTGCATAACCTGCAAAGCTTTGCATTATGGATGTGTGTGTCTGTGTGCAGGGAAGGGGAGAGAAAGGCAGTTTATTTGGAAATAAATGCTAACAGTTTCTATTTAAAATCAGCCGTCAGTTTAACCAATATTTCCTGTTTCAACCATCACAGCTTGTTTGATGCAAAGCAGCTTGGTTCCCATCCCAGTTCCTCTGACCACCTGATCATTTCAGGGCCTCTGCAGCTTCATTTGTTCCCATTTCATCATGAATCTGTTGCTCTTTGCTTTTGGTGGATGGTTTTTATTTTTCCTCTGCTTGATTTAACCACCTTCACCTCCTTTCATTCTGTCTCTAATTTGTCATTTTCTCCAAACATTCCGTTCTTTCCCTAAATTAACTCAAACGCTCCTGTTGATTTTCTCCCATTTTTCCGACCATCATCCCCGTTCTTTCACCCTCCCAATCCCTTCTGCTCCCCCCATGAAACCCGCCTCAGATCACCATAAACCGAGGAGAGGAGTGTGTGCTGGAGGACAACTCTCAGAGGACCAAGTGGAAGGTGATCAGTCCCACCGGGAATGAAGCCATGGTTCCCTCGGTGTGCTTCAGCGTCCCTCCTCCGAACCAGGAGGCTATCGACACGTCCAGCAGGTCAGACACAAACTTTACAGGTTTTTAAATTTGGAAAACTGCTGAAAGAAAAGCTGGTGTTTGTTGTTTCATTTACATTTAAATTAGGTAAAGCAATAAATTGCTGTGTCTTGTTAATAATAGTAATAGTTCTTTCGTTAGAGAGTTACATTCAGCTCACTACTCTCTGACGGACTTCCTCTGCAGAGCCTTTTTATTAGCAGATCATAACACATGGGGTGGCTTCTCATGTTCTTATGACAAGGCAATTGATCAGGTCATAGGACAGAATGCTCCTCCTTTTCTCAATGTTTTATATACACACACTTAAACTTTATAATCATCATTGAATAAACCTAACAAGCGACAGCCTATGGCAACAGCAGGCCGCTGTGACGGCAAATTCCTCAATGCTTTGGAGGAGAGTTCTCTGTGCAAAGCATTCCAGGATATATCTGCGTCTTCTGAGGCCTTTCTTTTATTCTCATGCACTTCATAGACACATTTTCTCTTAAAACCCTCAGCCATATTGAAAGAACCGCAGTGAGAAAGGTGAGCTTCAATGACTGAAACCTTTGCTCACCACTGAAAGTCCACATGCGCAGAAAAAGATCGCCACAGGGACAGCACATAGGACGGCCTACATATCACCAGAATGATTGACAATTAGGAGGACCACTTATTTAGATGATCCACCCGGAAATAAAAGATCATCCTCTATACCTTTACGATATTTGTTTTCTTATTTAAAACACATCATTTTATTCCACTGCGAAATTGTCTTTCTTAAATCAAGAGATAATACACTTATTTCAAGAAAAAATACCAATTTATCTTTACATTTTCTCAATTATTTTAGTTTGTTTCCATCTGTTTTCCCATCATGAGCTGTAAAAAACAAGATTATGAGCGAATGATGTTTTCAATCGTAAGCCAAAGCAAACCGGACGTAGAAAACGTCCCCAGCATCGGTGCTTGGAAGCATTTAGAGGAGCAGACGTGTGTTTGCAACCAGCTGAATGGCTTTAGGAGGGTTCAGACTCACAGAGATGTTTCCTTCATCAACGCAGGGCAGAGCAGTTGTACCAGAAGGTCATGTCTCTGTGGCATCAGCTGCATGTGAACATGAAGAGCGTGGTGACGTGGAACTACCTCCAGAAAGACATCAGGACCGTCTCCGGATGGACCCTGGACACGGTGAGAACCCCTCAGAGTCTTTACAGCTGTGTCGCTTCCTGTTGGTCTCACTTCTCCTCTCCGCTTGTATCAACCTTCAGGTACGCAGTCAGAGTCCGTCGGAGCGCCGCCATGTCCTGGAGCACCTGGGGTCCCAGCTGGCCGACTTCCTGTCTGACAGCAGAGAGAGCTCGCTGTTCACGACGGCTGAGAGACGGGAGCTGGAGAGCGAGGTTCAGCGGGCGCAGCAGCACTGCCAGGACCTGCTGCACAACATGGAGACAGGCGAGGACCTGGATGCTCAGCTTTATACCTCTAAAAATGAATCTTTGTGTGACCAAAGTATGTGTTTGTCTTTCTGCAGCGGAGAAGGACGAGTCTGTGTCTCGGTCCTACCTGTCGGAGCTGCAGGACATCAGTCTGCGTCTGAGCGACACCGAGCGGAGGCTGATGAGAGCCATCGAGACGCCGCCTCCCAGCCGCCTGTCAGGCGGCAGCTTTGACAACACACAGCGGATCACAGAGCAAGAGGTCAGTTTGAGCTCCATCTGCTGGTCACAAAACGCAATAACAGCTGTAAATATTTAACAAACTGGACTCCTGGCTTTCTAACAAATCATTAAATAAACAGTTAAGATTTCAAAGAAAGTTTTTTTCTCACAAATTAATTCGCTTCATGTAGAGTTTTAGCAAGTTTTATGCAAATAAAGAACTTTTTATACTGGAGGGCTTTTTTGCTCAGAGAAAAACTAAACAGAAATAATTTCCTCTCATCCAGAAGCTGAAATCCGAGCTGGACTCTCTGCGCTCCAGCCTGGGCGACGTCTCCCGCCGCTGCGTTACTTTCTTCGAGGAGAAGCCGTCGTCCTCCAGCGTTCCCGTCCTCCGCTCCGAGCTCAGTCAGGCTGTGGAGCGGACGGACAGACTGAACAGCCTCTCAGCCGTCTACTTGGAGAAGTTAGTCAAACTTTTTATGTATTATCTCACAGAATTAGTTTTTTCTTCTCTTTCTCATTAAATTAAATATTTATCTTTGTTGTTATTTTCTTACCTGTTAAGGTTAAAAACAGTAGACTTCCTGATGCGGAGCCTGGATGAAACTGAGAGCCTGGTGAGGAAGTATGAGAGCAGACTGAGTGAAGAGGACATCGTTCCTGCAGATACAGCAGCCATTCAGAACCTCAGACAGCAGCTCGGGGTAAATAAGCTCTAAACCTTTCCTTCCTTCATGCCGCATGCCTGTGTTGACTCTATTAATGCGGTTTTATGGCTCCTCAGAGGTGGCAGGCTGAACTTTCAGAACAAGAAGAGATTTTCCAGGCCCTGCAGGTTCAGGTGGATCGGGCCAAAGAGGCAGGAGCCGAGCTCGGCAAGCTGCACCCGGACCGCAGCCCTGAGCTGGAACGGTACCAGGAAAGAGCCAATCAGATGGCAGAGAGGTGGAGTGGAGTCAAACGGCAGACAGAAACACGGTAGGTGGCGCAGCTCAGACGTCGGAGTCGTTATCAGGTTTTTAATTCTGACAAATCAAATCAAAGTTTGTCTCTTCAGATCTTGAATGTTAGGAAACTGGACCCCGTTGTGGGTTTCTGATTAACATTCTTTACTTCTCTGTGTTTTTAATAACAGGCAGTCCGATCTGGAAGTTGTGGGCTCGGCGCTGCAGCAGTACAGAGAGAACCACTCAGCCCTGATCAGGTGGATCGAAGAGACGACAGAAAGACAGGAGAGCGCCCAGCCTGGACAGATGGACAGCAAGGCGCTGTCAGAACAACTGGCCCAGCAGACGGTCCGTTCAGACCCTATAACAGCACAGGGCCTTACTGTTGTCATGGTTACATGTAAACGGTCTCTTTCAGGCATTGGTAGCTGAAATCGAGCAGAACCAGACCAAACTAGACGAGTGCCAGACCTACTCCAAACAGTACTGTGCCTC